TTTTCTTTAAATTGTAAAAATACACATGTACTGTACAAAATAAAACAACCTCATTAACCTATGATAATAATAATAATATTATAATACATGTCAAAAATTACTAAAATATTCAAAAACAAAACAGAAATACATGATACATAATGTATGTACTTTATGCTCCCTAAAATGCAGTGAGAAGAGATTGCCTGTTGGTTTATTATAAGTAAAAACATGCACTGTCACTACTACTGTATGTCCTATTGAAGTTTGTCTATTATAATATTGTGTGCATAAATGTCATGTGATCATCATGTGCTGAGTGGTTTGATCTGTGGGTGGGTAAGTATCTCTTAGTGAGGTGGCCAGGGTTGGTGTATCAACCTTAGTGAGGTGTTGGTGTTGGTGTATGATATTTATGCTGCCATCATTCTGGCTCCATAACTGTTTTGAAGTATCCAATTAGACAATCAGCCAATTATTTGTGTTACTATGGTTATAGCCATGCCTTATGCTAACATTTTGCAGAGCACTGCAGAATACTGGTAATTGCATTTTTGAGCAGAGCAGGCAACCCTGGCATTCCATCATGATAATCTCAGTTTCATAGTTTTCCTCCTGAATATGTACATGCATAATGTACACTACAGACTCTCAACACTACACAGCAAATCTAAAATCTATTTGCACCAAATGTCTCTCTTGTATAAGTTGTAATGGTAAATCCCTTTAACATCATGTAGTATTGTTGCTACTATTGTTACATCATGTAGTCACATACACACAGGGAGTGGGTCACACTACACTCAGTACAATGTAAATCTATTTACAAAACTATCTGCTGAGCTATCACAACAGTTTCAGTTTGATAAACACACCCACAGACATATCTTTGGTCAACAATGCTTTCACTACAAGTGGTTGTCTTCTTGTTGAGTGTCAGTGAAGTTATCAGTGAATGTCCACCTTCCTCAGGTAAGACACTGGATGTGTATAATAACAACTGTATAGGTTTTTATAGGTATCTACCTGAGGTATAGTGGAAACTGTCGTACTAATGAATCCTATTTTACTGATGGTAGCATCATATCAAATGCTCTAGAGTGTACATTACCTGGTGCTACTCTGGATGATGGAGAATGGATTGGTCCTAATGGAGTAGTTCCTTGTGATGGTGGTAACAATGAAAATGTTCGATGTACTACTGGGTTAGGTGCTAGTCTCAGTATGAAGCTACTACTTATCCTGGGGCAGCTGGTAATGGCTGGTACAAGTGTTGTCTGCCCACTAATTGTTCAGATCCTAACACTAACATCATCTTTGCTAATATATTCAGTAAGAGGAGACTATAATCACTTACTGATGTAATAATTTTCGTTTGTAGGATTTGCACAGATAGAATCATTTACTGTTGTTGATCTTCCTTCTGATATGACAGTATATCCTCAGGAATACAAACTGAATTGTACTAAAATTGGATTTCGTCGGTATGATATTAGTATGAGCATTGGTAGTACTGCACTGGCTAGTCACACTAATTGTGATGATAGATTTAGTAATAATTGTCCTAGTGGTATTGATTTAAGTGGTCCTGTTGAAAACACAGTAAGTTATACTGTTAATATCACATGGGATGGAATGACTGTCAGTAATGGATCAGTCAGTCAATCAACCACTGGAGATCAACTGTATCAGTGCAGGTTAGCAGATCATCCTGATGCTAATGCAATTAGAATACGTAATGTAACTATAAAAGGTAATGTCTATAAATTCTATTAATTTTGATACCAATAATATTAGTACCAGTAACTGCTCCCTCTTCTCTTACTGTGGTCACCAAGACAGCTACCACTATCACTGTCAGTTGGACTGCACTTGATTCATCTAATGCTGATGGATATCTAGTCAATGTTACTAGTGACACAGACACTGTGCAGACAATACAGGTGGAGGGAAGTAGTAATAATACAATCACACTGAATGGACTGAGATGAGGAACAACTTATAGCATCACAGTCAGAGCCTATCAACAATTACTGGGACCTGCTAGTACAATCAGTGTACAGACCTTACCAGGTATTGCTACTGCACCTTTTAATGTACTTGTAACATTGTTGATGTATTTCTAGTTATTAATTCAATCAATTGGACACTAGTCTCATCCATTACACAACTCAATAACACTCAATATCATATTGATTGTCTCACAACTACTGATGTAAATCCTTCAACTAATGTTTACTGGTTAGTGAATGGAGTGATGAAGAGTAACTCAATGTATACATCAATTGATGTCCTGACATACAACAATACACTACTGGTATATCCTGATCCACTGGGAGTGTCAGTTAATGTTACCTGTATAGCAATGATTGGAGGAGTCAACTACAGTCAATCTGTGATATTACATGGTATGATTATACTTTAATCAATAGTAGATACCTTTGTTTCTTTTTTAGCTCCTAGTAATCCTCCAAATAATGTGAGAGGGTTTATATTAAATGCTAATAGTATCAAAGTGAACTGGACCACTTCATCAGAGACTAATGGATATGTGATTGAGTATACTACTGGAGGTGTAACCAGGAATGTAGTATCTACCAGTAAAGGTGAAATTGTACTAACAGATCTCTCACCAATGAGTGGTACCTATACCATCAGTGTGTACTCATATATAGATCTTCCTTCAGTTAATAGTACAGTAACAGTGTTAAGATTTGATGGTGAGTTATTATGATTGAGAGAGTGTAATTGATATGTGTTGTAGTTCCTAGTCCAGTAACTAGTCTCTCAGTATCTAATGTCTCAACCACTAGTATTACAGTGAACTGGACTATTCCCAGTAGTGACAACTATGTAACATACTACACCATCTCCTATACTCCATCTTGTCCCCAGTTATCATCAGTGAATGAGACAGTCTCTGTTGGTCCTCATCAGTCCACTACAACATACAGTTATACATTAATAGGTCTGTACAGTGGTATGAGCTATACCATCACAGTGAGAGCTGGTAATGTACTAGGAGGATCTGAATTAAGCATGAGCACATCAGTACAAACTGAAGCAATGAGTTGTATGTTAATAATGTGTTTCAGTATTTAAATTATATATATTTTGTAGTTCCTAGTGGTTGGCCCTCATCAATTCAAGTATTACAAGTTAATTCTACAGCTAATAGATTCACTTGGAATGAGGTCAATTGTTCTGAGCGTAAT